CTGGTGAACTGGAAAGTGACCTGAGATGACATGATGTGAATTGGAGCTATAGAAATAAACTGAATAGAATTGAATTAACAGGAGATATGATGTTCTAGGTTCCGCATGGACCAGTACACTTTGGTTCTCTTTGAGTCAATGTTTATCCTTTGGAGAACTCTTACTGATTATGGCCATAATGACCTACTGAGTCATTTCTCAGCTGAAGGACTTTCTCCAGGTTTCGAACCCCCTCTCAAAGGATGCTGCCTCCTGACTCACTGACTTTACTCTTCCATGTCCCTCAGGTGGCGCCGGTCCAGGAGGAGCGGGCTCACGTTCTCCGTCTTTCTCTCGAGAAGATGCGATACATGGACGACCCTGAAGTGTTCCTCCGTCGCTCTGTCCTCATTAACAACCTCCTCCACCGTCTGCGAGCTGAGATCCTGCTCCCGAGCGCCAACTGGTGCTTCCCACCAAACCCGGTGCTCACCAGCGGCCCCTGGAACCTGCCGCCCACCGCCGGCTCAGCTCACCAAGCTCTCCACAGGGCCCTGCCCACCCGGATCTGCCTCCCGCCACCGGCTGGCCCGCCCCTCAGGAAGCGGTTCCGGGTGGTACCATCAGGGCCGGGCCCGGACTGCTCTCAGACGTGCTGCTGTGTTTACGAGGCGGCGGGTCACTACCTCCAGCTACCGTTCTCCATGTACGATGCTGCTCTCTCTTCCACAGGCAGCACCTCAAAGCTCCATCTGACCGGACAAGGAAAACCAGGGCCGAGCACGGACAAAGAGGAGGACAAAGATGCCGAGGAGGAGGAGGAAAGGGAGCAGGAGGTACAGACTGATAAACCTAGACCTGAAGAGGCTTTTGCTTCTCACCGCAAGTTCAGCCGAAGGACTAAGACTTTGGAGGGTCGTAAGGACATGAGGACAGAGGGCAGCCGCAGGACAGGAAGAGCAGGAGAAGAACGAGAGCAGGAGGGGGAAGAAGAAGAGGAGGAGGAAGAGGGTTTTGGACCTTGTTTGTGGGATTCAGAGAGAGATCTTCACAAACGATTAAAGTTGTTACCTGGCAGAGCTCAAAGACCTTCGGTCCTCCTGGAATGCTCTGAAAACAGGAACCTTCTGATTGGATGAAGCCTCATGGCTCAGCGTCTCCAGAACCACGCCTGTCTGAACTGGTCTCCGCTCATCGGGTTTCCTACTGCGTGTTCTGATGCTGCCTCAGGAAGCAACAGTTCTGCAGCAGCGCCACCGTGCAGAACCTTTAAAGTGCCTTAGCATTCCCAGCTCCATGCTTACTGTGGATGCTGACCACCTGCCAGGCTGGTGGTCAGCATCCACATCTCCAAACCTCAGCATCTTCTATTAGAACCATCACTTAGAGGAGAACTGGACCCAACAGCATTTAGACAAACAGGTAGAAGTTCTCTGGTTCGTAAAGACTTTAAATGAAAGTCTGGTAAAAATGGTTCCTCTGAGGCAGCAGCTGCTTCGCCTCCTTTCTTCTGAACACATTTTTCTGTAATTCTGAAGGAAGTTTAAATGTTTTTATTTAATTTAATTAATTGATTTATTTTACTCTGACTTGAAATGTGATTATAAATCTAAGATGGAAAGGAACAGTCTGTCTTTGTTTTCCTTGGTTTCTCTTCTTTTATCCAAATTCATCAGCATATTTGAACTTTGACCCTTAAGGAGAATGCTCTTTGTCTCAACATAAAGTGTTGTTTTTCTGACAAACCCTAAAAAAGAGACAGTTTCTTATTAGTATTAAAGACAAGATGTCCTGTTATCAAATAGAAGGAAAAAGCTCTGCTCATTTTCTGATGTTAGGTCTAAGTTAATCAGTAAAAGCAATGTTTAAACCAAGCTGTGTCCTGGT